TTTAGAAGCCTCAAACATATAAAAAACTTGATATATATTCTAAAAATATCCAAATTTATTGGCTCATTAAAGGTATTGGGTTGCGTATAAATAATGTCGTACATCATACGCCATACAGGACACTATGAATGATGGTACAATATTCGCCAAAGACGCAATAATTCAAAATAATTGGTAGTCATAATTATCCCTGTCATAGTCATAATTATCCCTGAAAGTATTTAAAGAGAACCTTCAAAAAAACGGGAAAGCGTTAATCTTAATCGTTAATCTTCAAGAGACCTCCTGAAAGATCTAAGTCATTAGCCCTTATAGTAGACTTAGTAAAGATAACAAATAATCAAAATCAATTGAGAGAAACTTTATTCGAAAAAAATTTATCGATCCTCAACATATATTTAAAAAAAATTAAAGTTATTTATCCTACAAGAAACTTCATAAACGCCAAAAATTAACCTCATTAATTGTTCCACAGGGACAGCAAGAGTGCGTAAAATTTTTTTAAAGCGTATCAATAATACAAATTAAAATACAAGGATTCTGGATCGCGAATACAGAATGCCATACTTGATACGCCACCTAAAACTACGTGAATAATTTATGAACCCAAAGAGATCATATTTGGATCTCAATTATTCAAAATAAATTCTTAAACTAATTAAAAAATGAACAGAATTAATCCTCCCTGTGACATCCTGCAAATCTAAGATATTAGCCCTTATAGTGGCCTTAGATGGTGTTATTATATAATATACATCAATTGTGTACATGCTGGTATTAATATTCTATAAAATTATTTTTCTAGAGCGCTTTATAACATTAACAAGAAATGATTACGCCTTATAGTAACCTCAAATGAGGATATAAAATAGCCCATGTTAATTATCATCCTATAGGTATACGAAGTCATTAAATAATTATATAAAACATATCCACTCTCTAAAGTCCTGGGAAATTTATTAAAAAAATATCTACACTCTAGACTTCCGCAAAAAATCATTTAAATATTGAAAATTTTTTTTGATTATTTTTTGATTATTCCTTAGAAATTTATTTAAAACATTCTACAAAACATTCTACATTCTACAAATCCCTGAAGATGTTCTTCATGAATACATTTAAAAATATCTATTTTAAATCGGCGCTCTTTTGGACCCCTTATGACAATACTTAGAAAATCCTTCACCTCTTTTAAAATCTTGAAAAAATGTTTAGAACAAAATCAGCTCCCTTATGAAATTCACACATTCTTAAAAAAAATATGTTCCCAAATCCAAATCTGACTTTTAAAATTCCAATAATCTAAATGAAACACAAAATTTATAAACAAAATATGTACAGATTTGGGTGGCGTATACATAGTGTCGTACATCATACGCTGACTATAGAGTATAGTCACATATTGTGACTTTAAAATATCGTCAAAATTCTAATTTAAATGTCTTCAAATTTCTTTACAAAAATTTGTATTGTGGCTGGCGTATACATAGTGTCATAAATCATACGCAACCTGATTCTTAATAAATGTACCCCAATACGTTAATAATGTTTTTGCTGTATTTGAAGAAACATTGAAACAGGAGCCACATTTTATTTTCTATGTTCATAAGGGATAACAAAGTAATACTAAATAAATAAAAATTAATTTACAGACCCCAGAAAAATTGTCATATCTCAGAATGGATTAAGTTGGGTCTGAAAGGGTTACATAATTACATTAAATAACCCTTTATTAAAATTTTCTTTAAGATGACTTTAAAATGTTGTAAAAAATACGCATGAAATATGGTAAAACTTGTTTAAAAAAATATAAGGGTCTCTAGCAAAAAATAGATACTTTAATACGCTACCTGATTCGTAAGGGATAACAATGTAAGACTTAATAAAAATTAATTAACAGGCCCCTAACAGATGTTTATTGTCAGATCTCACAATGGCTTAAGTTGGGTCTCAAAGGGTTACATTATTATATTAAATATCCCTTTAGTTTTATTAAAATTTTCATTAAGAAGGATTTAAAATGTTTTAAAAAATCCACATGAAATACCGTTGAGCTTTTTAAAAAAAATATATCGCGGATATATTACCAAAAAAATATAAGGGTCTCTAGAAAAAATAGATTTTCATATTGAAATGAAATCGAAAAAAATTGGGAATGTTAGTTGAATATCAATTTAAGTAGTCTTTAACCTTTGAGCCCCGATTTTTTTCGTAATGATAGAACAATTTTTTGTTCACAGATTTAATGCAACTATCCTAGATAGGATATGGACAAAATTTGACATCGCTACATCCTTGCATTCGGGAGATACATTCTCTCTGACAAATAAAAGCCCATTATGAAGAAAACCAAATGTAAAATCGACGAAAAAATAATTTTAAATTATTCTCTATATTCTGTTTTACAAGAATCAAAAATAATTCTGATGGCAGAATTCGTACATTTCGAATACGAAGAAATTTAAATAATTTGGGCTGTATACACAAAGTAGTACTGTACACAAATTTACCCTCTTCTCTATATTAAAAAGCTCATAACTTTACCAAAAATTTGAATTTTTTAGATTTTTCTTGTGATATGTTTCGTCCATAATCAGGACTTGACATATGAAATCCAAAGAATACATATCTACCAATAGCATTTTAAATATAAGCTCTAAAACATTTTGTTGCCTGTGGGCAACATTGGGCCACAAAGGGTTAAAAATGTCTATGACATTGGGTGGCGTATACATAGTGTCATATTTCATACATCACTTGGAACCGTGTAAATAATTTAAATATTTTGAATGTAACAAGGTGATATTTTATTTCCTTAAACATTATTAAAGTACCCTTTGTTATAGGTATAAATTTTGAAATTTTTATACGACTATTTACGACAAATTAAATTTAAGTAACCTTTAAACAATATATTGAACATGGGTGACGTATACATTCTGTCATATATCATACACCACCCAGAACAATGTAAATAATTTAAATATTTTGTAAATTAAATCTTTATAAATGTTTTTAGAATTCATCTAGAACGAAAAAAGCCAAGAATTTCTTAGAAGTTATGTAACGGAAAATATTTATTTAAGATTACTACGATACTATTTGTACAGCATATTGTAATGACTGCGAAAAAAATAACTTTCATCCAAAAATACTTTTTCTCCAACATTAAAAAAAGTTGGAGAAAAAATAGGAAATGTTCCTGGAAAGACAATTTATGTCAACTTTAAACCAGTGAGCGGAGCAGTATAGTCGGACGGGACCGGATACGATACCCTACACAACTACCACACAACTACCATACAACTCTATTTTTCTGCGGATTTTTATTTCGATTCTGGGTAATATTTCGTGGTATTTGCACCGTCTTGACCGATTAGAGGTCAACAAGACTTCTTCCTTACACTGAAATATTTTCCTAATATTACCGATATTCAGTACCTTCCTTCTAATTAATTGTCCATACTCCCGTTGTGTTGTGATGTTCGAAAAAAAAACACAAAAAATAAGTTATCGGTCCACTTATCTGATCATTAATAGGCGTTGTCCTTGACCATAACTGGAACCTCATGGAACATTTCAAAGCGATCAGCGCTATATTTCCGCCCTCTAATGTGGTAATGGGTTACTTGATAATATATAAATACGTAAGCACCTGTAAATATTTAAGTGTAACTCTCACATCCGAGTACATACGACAATATAATTGGTATCAATTTAAAGGCAAACCACTCCTCTTGGATATACTCTCAACTTCTCGGCTCTATGTCCTTCAGGAGTAAATATATACGCAATAGAATACAAATTTTTTCATTTTTCACACAAAAGTCGGGGTCCATTTGACCCGCTGAATATTAACCGATCTTTATCAAAGCAGGCATGCTTATTCTTTGGCCCAATTCCCTTCTCCCCTTCGAGATGTTTGGGCCATAATTGCGGTCTCTGAAGTGACCAGAAAAACCGACAAAAATTAAGTATTTGGTCCATTTCATTCCCTAAATATTAACCGATCTATTCCAAAAACAATAGGGGTCTTCATTGGGCCGAACCCATCCTACATGCAAAATTTCGTGAAGACTGGTCCATAACTGTGGCCTGTATGGTGTTTACAAAATATAATGGACAGACGGACGGACGGACACACATGTCTGTATCGACTCAGCTAGTCCAGATATGACGATCGGTATACTTAAAGGTGGGTCTAGGACCAATATTTTGCGGCGTTACAAACTTTTGGGGCTGCACAAAGCTATAATACCCTGACAACATAGTTGTGTAGGGTATAAAAATGTTATGGGTGACGTATACATAGTGTCGTACATCATACGCCACATATAACACAGTGGAAATGATTTGTTTATATTTTCTATATCAAATTTATATTTGGAATATTTTATATTAAAATAAATTTGAATAATATTTAGTATGTTTATTAATTTAAGTAAACTTTCGAATATCTTAGGTGTTGGGTAGCGTATACATTGTGTCATATATCATACGCCACAAAGCACAGTAACAAATTATTTTAATATTTATTTTAAATCTAATTAAAATTTAAAAGCTCTACATACTTCATTTTTTGATACTTTTCGACTTTCAAACATCTTGGGTATTGGGTGGCGTATACATTCCGTCGTATATCATACGCCACATGGAACTCGCAAATAATTTAAATATTTTTAAATCTAACAAACATTTAAAATCTCTACATAATTAAAATTTTAAATATTTTTTTTTTACATTTCGACTTAATCCCTTTGTTCACACTACCATTTATTTCCCTTTCAATTTTCTTCTAATGTCTGTGTATATCTCAGTGTGGGAAAAATAAGATTTCATTTCGTGGTTTTTTCTCCTAACTATTGCATTAGTTAAAATTTTGTTAAGAGTGTGAGGGTGTGTGTTTGTGCAAATATGTGTATATTGTGTGGAAGGGTTTTCTGTTAAACGAAAGGAAGGAAACAATTTTTAGAATCCCCCCTTTTTTCCCGAGAACATACCTTTATGATTTCTGGTTGGGGCATTGGCTGCCGTGATATGTGATACTGATACAGTATCATGTACATGCATGTGGTCGCTACGAATATAGTCAGGTACATTTTAATGGATTTTCCCAATGCCATGTTTGCAAGCAGCTGGTTCTATGATGGGCTACAGGTTACCAACGGCCAGGTGAAATTTTTGTAGGAGACGAGGAGGCAACGAAAACGGTTGATAGTTGTGGTGTTGCTGCTGCCAGCTTACTTTTGCTCTTGAGTGTGTTGCAATGAGGAGGAGTAGCTGAAGGGGATGGATGGGTGCTGCTGGAAAATTTCTAGCCGGTTTACTTGGCTGGCTGGCTGACTGGTTGCAATGTTGGCATATAACGAGACAGGAAGTTGTCGTTGTTGTTGTTACTTCGGCTCCTGCTGCTCCGAGTTTTGAGTACTTGATGTGCTTGGCATTAAACGCTCTAAACGGAATGCAATGAATGCCTTCCGCTGTTTGGCCTGTAACGTAACAAGAGTGGGGTGTTAAGCGCGTTATGCCCGTGGGAGTTCGAGTGGCTGAGTTCTTTTTTTTCGATTTTGAGTTTGAAAGGAATCGTTTCTTTTCGGTTTTTTTGGTAAAGTAAGAGATTAGTTTGTTTTTAAACTTTGTCTACAGAGTGAGAGTCGTTTACTTCCGGTTTTTTTTAATTAAGTATTTCGGTATTTTTTTTTATTTGTAAATATTTTTTTCAAGTTTTCCATTAAGTTTTTAAGATTTTTTTCTCTCCTCTACAGTTTATTGGTCATTTTTTTGTTTTGTTGGGAAGGCAATCAGCAGGAGATCCTCATTTTTCCCACAGTTTGTTTAGCAAAAAATTCCAAAAGGAAAGCTTTTAGTTGGTTCATTCGTTTTTTTTTTATTTGTTGCAATTAAGTTGCCCAGCGCAGAGAGCTATTAGATGTTATGGCCCCTCAATAATTTTTAACAGCTGTATCATGCCATAAAGTTGTTGGAGTTGTTGTTGTCCAGTTGTTGTTGCTGTTATTCTATGATTAGCACTTTTCTAGCCAGGCAGGCAGGCAGCCGTCGTTTCGTGTCGTGTCAGTTTCCAATTATTTGTTAAAAAGCTGTAAAATAGTTTAAATGTTTCGTTGTTATCCGTTTATAAATCATGTTTGTGCTTGTCTCATACATATGGGTAATGGGGCTCCCACATCCATCTACATATATCTATATTTTCTAACAGTAAAGTGTTAATGATTATTACCTTTTGCTGTGGATTTGTTTTCGCCAGTGAATACCGACCGTCCGAACATAACATTGGCAATGGTTCAAGTTTATGGTCGTAGTTGTCGTACTGGTTGTTGTTGCCGTTGTTCGTCGACAACATTGCTGTAATTAAAAAAAAAATTAAAATACATGAACAGTTTCGTTGTATTAATAATTAATTTATTTGTTAATAATATGGTGGCGTATGGGTGCTGTCGTAAATCATACGCTCCCAGTGGAAGGCTTTAATCAAAATATAGGAAAATACATGTCTATTAAATTGTAAAATTATTTCCAAGGCTGATTCAAGCACAATGAATAATTGAAGAATAAAATAAAATTCATGGGAAAATTTTAGAAGTGCCCCTTATTTTAAATCTTAATAAATTATATAAGCATTTTTGCTTATCACACGATCCGATATATATGTTTCGAATAGACTCGTGGGAGTTAAATGTTAATGAACTTGTAAAAAATATAGGCTTTAGAAATTCTGGAATAATTCTAGATATATTAAAAACTAAAATACCTGAGGAAATGGAGTCAGCGTATAAGCACTGTCGTAAATCATACGCCCCAATAGGCACAATTAATTGAACTGAGAGTAGGTTCCCGTAAAGTTGGATTTTTTCAAAGTTATAAAGAAACCAGTGAGCGGAGCAGTATAGTCGGACGGGACCGACCATACGATACCCTACACAACGTCCATGAAAATCTAACTTTCTGTGGTTCTATATTCTGAGATTGGGCAATATTTCGCGATATTTCTACACTTTTGACTGGCTAGATGTCAGAAAATGTTACTAATAATCAGTACAGCCCCTCTAATTACTTGTCCAGATTCCCTTCACCGCAGGTTGTGTTGTGATGTTCGGCTTTCGACTCGAAAAGTACAAATAATTAAATTTTCGGTCCACTTCATCCCAAAATTATTATCTGATCATCACCTAACATTTTAGGCGTTGTCCTTGACCATAACTGGAACTTCATAGAACATTTCAAAGCGATCAGCCTATATATCCGCCCTAAAGTGTGGTAATAGGTTACTAAATAAAATATGAATACGTAAGCACCTGTAAATATTTAAGAGTAACACCCGCATCCGAGTACCTACGACAATATGATTGGTATCAATCAACAACTATGTTGTCAGGGTATTAAAGCTTTGTGCAAATTTTCCATGGAGAAGGGGATCGGGCCAAAAAATAAGCATGCCTGTTTTTATAAAGATCAGTCAATATTTAGCGGGTCAAATGGACCGTGACTTTTGTGTGAAAAATTACAAAGTTTGTATTCCATGGCGTATATATTAACTTCCGAAGGACATAGACCCGAGATGATAGTATATTCAAGAGGAGTAGTTGACCTTTGAATTGATACCAATTATATGGTCGTGTGTACTTGGATGTGGGAGTTACACTTAAATATTTACAGGTTCTTACGTATTCAGATACTATTTAGTGACACATTATCACACCAGAGGGCGGAAATATAGCTCTGATCGCTTTGAAATTTTCCATGAGGATCCATGTATGATCAAGGACAAGCCTATAATTTTCGCTGATGATCAGATAATAATTTTGGTATGAATGGACCGAGAACTTAAGTTTTTATATTATTTCGAGTCGATCTAAAGGCCACAATTGAAAGCCTAACATCGCAAGACAACTCACGGTGAACGGAATATGGCCAAGAAATTAGAAGGGTTGTTCTGAATATTAGTAATCGGTCAAGAGTGTGGAAATATATCGAAATATTGCCCAAGCTCAGAATATAGAACCACAGAAAGTTATAGTTTCGTGGAAGTTGTGTAGGGTATCATAGGGTCGGCCCCGTCCGACTATACTGCTCCGCTCACTGGTTTTTATTTTTCAAATATGTACGAAGTTTTCAAATACAATGATTTATTGAAAAATAAATTTAAGGGCATGTGGAAATTTCAATGAAAATAAATTTTTAATCAGCGGCGTATGAGCGGTGTCGTAAATCATACGCTTCTAGCACTTTCACTTAAGGGAAGACACCCAACCCCCCCCCCCAATCTCGATTTTAATTTTTCGAGATTTTCAATGGGCTGGTAAATGAATACAAATGCTTGTTAAGGTTAGTAACTTTGCACATATATAATTGAAAATTTAAAATAGAAGAAAAATAATTTACAAAAAATTTTTGTTATTGTTTTGTTGTTGTTTTTTGTAATTAAAGAAAAGTCCTTATTTTTGATGGCGGGCATGATAACTCCTCACTGGAACATCGGAATCCGAAAATTCCAACGGTGTTAGAAAGAGTACATGTCTGGCTCTCGTATGACTTGACTTCGCTCTAAAATTAACAAAATGGCGGACATTTGAAAATCGCGGAAAATCTTCACCGATTGGCTTTATCCTAGTTCATACGATAGCTATACACTCACAGAGAAACGTGTAAAAATTTGGAATCGATTGGGTTTGTAGTTTTTGAGTTATCGTGCCCGCCATTCGCAAAAAAATTTTTAGAGAAAAACGGGTTTAAAGAGAGTGACTTGATGCTGACACAATAAATCGGCTATATCTTCAAGAGGTCTTGAGATTTTCACTTGAAATTTTGTAGGGACATAAATGGTGCACCATAGTCTCAAAATTAGGCCGATATACACAAAATTTTGCACAACGTACTTAAGATAGTATAGCCGAACGTGTGTTGGAATCCGTCTAGATTTAGATATAGCTCCTATATATTATCGTCCGATTTTAAATGGGATCCAAGGACCCAAAATATGTCAATCAAAACAAAAACGTGCATAAATTAGTCTAACCTAACTTGTGGCAAGTTTCATTGAAATCGGTTCATATTTGGATAAAGCTTGCATATCTATTTTCATAAGATTTTAAGTATGGTGCACCAAAGAAGCAATTCATTCCATTACCACCCCTCTTCCCTTCATTTCACTTCCAGCTACGACAACAACAATAAAAACTAATAATTACACACAATCAATTCCCATTTCTTTAACCATTCAGCCGCAACTGGGTCATCATTGTCATCGTCATCAGCAACATCAACGTCATCGACGTAGTCGACGACGACTTTGACATCTTCGCAAGAATAATAAATTTAACAACCAGGTAATGTGATTTCCATACAAGCGATAAATTGTTGTTGGAGGCATGAATACACAATTTCACGTACAAAACACCCTTCCTGCACACACCCCTCGTTCACACACCTCTCCGTCCCGCACACCCCTCTCCTCACACACAAACTCAATTATTTAAAAATCACTCATACGCCAATGTAAACTGGATTTAATGCAAAAGACAACCTAAAGAACCAAAACAACAACGACAACAAGTAACGATGCCATTCATTCATTCCGTCAGTCATTGTGTAAGTGTGTGTGTGTGCCTTGCCACACAAACCGCAAGATTGCATCTGCTTGAAATAATATTTAACATTTACATTTGCATTTATATTCACTCTTAATTACATTTTCTCCATTTAGTGGGGGGCAGAGAGAGTGACAACGACAACAACGACAGCAACAACAGGATCACGAACTACAACACTAAACGGAAAAAGGACAATAAAAGGTAGGTAGCTAACGTACACAGGAACTACATTTAAATGCAGTTTTTTTGTTACGAAGATGCGGACAAAAAATCTGTTCTCGTTTTCAGATGAGTTGGAGGATGATAGTGATTGTCTTGTCCGCCCCTCCCCCCTTTCCCACTTTCACTATGAATAGGGATACCGGGATGTCATCATTTAGTTAAGCTGCAAGGCAAAAGGGAAAACATTCTGATGAGCTTTTCCGTTTGAATGAAATGAAAAAAAGAAAAACGAAAGGGGACAAACTTAAAATGTCAGGGTATTTAAATTGCAGAACAGTGGGAGGGTCTTTGGAAAATATTTTTTAAAAAATCCACGCCTGTGGGTATTCCTTAATAAATATTTTTTTTAAATCCACGCCTGTGGGTATTCCTCAGAAAATATTTTTTTAAAAATCCACGCCTTGTAGCAAAAAATATTTCTTTTAAATCAACTCTTGTAACTAAACCCTAAAAATATTTTTTAAACCAGTAAGGAAAGTAGTAAAGTCGGACTGGGCCGACTATATGTTACCCTTCACCACTATGGGTATATTCTACATATGTATTCTTACTATTGAATGTCAATGTTCCCCCGGAGGAACATACTCATGCCATTCTACAACCTATGATAAATTTAATATCATTCGGGCAGATTTAGAGTCGTCCGCGTACCATGGGACAAATTTATGGAAAACGATTTATAGCAAAATTGATACAGGTTATTCGGAATGCCGCACTGCATCAGCACCAATTACAGCAAAACCCAATAACGTCATTAAAGTCTTAATTTGATACGTTGTGCAAAATTTCGTGTTAATCGGACCAACATTAGGAGTTTGGTGCACTATTTATGTAAAATCGGACGAAAATATATGTGGCAGCTATATCTAAATCTGAATCGATTTTCAAGAAACTTAGCACACATCATTCTAGACTCAATTCAGTAAGCTGTGCCAAATTTCGTGCAAATCGAAAGATATATAGGGACTTTGGTGCACTATTTACCTTAAATCGGACGAAAATCTATATGGGAGCTATATCTAAATCTGAATCGATTTTCTCGAAACTTGGTACACGTCATTCTATACCTTATTCATTACTCTGTGCCAAATTTCATGCAAATCGAAAGAAATGTAGGGACTTTGGTACACCATTTATCTTAAATCGGACGAAAATATATATGGGAGCTATATGTAAATCTGAACCGATTTTCACGAAACTTAGCACACATCATTCTGGGCCTAATTCAGTACTCTATTCCAAATTTCGTGCAAACCGAAAGATATATAGGGATTTTGGTGAACCATTTACCTTAAATCGGACGAAAATATACATGGGAGCTATATCTAAATCTGAACGGAACTTTACGAAACTTAGCACACATCATTCCAGGCTCAATTCAGTACGCTGTGCCAAATTTCGTGTAAATCGAGAAATATATACGGACTTTGGTGCCCCATTTACCTTAAATCGGACGAAAATGTATATGGGAGCTATATCTAAATCTGAACCGATTTTCACAAAACTTAGCACACACCATTCTAGGCTTAATTCAGTAAGCTGTGCCAAATTTCATGCAAATCGAAAGAAATATAGGGACTTTGGTACACCATTTACCTTAAATCGGACGAAAATATATATGGGAGCTATATCTAAATCTCAACCGATTTTCACGAAACTTAGCACACATCATTCTAGACATAATTCAGTACTCTATTCCAAATTTCGTGCAAATCTAATGATATATAGGGCCTTTGGTGCACAATTTACCTTAAATCGGACGAAAATCTATATGGGAGCTATATCTAAATCTGAATCGATTTTCTCGAAACTTGGCACACATCATTCTGGACCTAATTCAGTACTCTGCACCAAATTTCGTGCAAATCTAAAGATATATAGGGACTTTGGTGCCCCATTTACCTTAAATCGGATGAAAATATATATGGGAGCTATATCTAAATCTCAACCGATTTTCTCGAAACTTGACACACTTTACTCTGGACCTAATTTAGTGCTCTATTCCAAATTTCGTGCAAATCGAAAGATATATAGAGACTTTCGTGCTCCATTTACCTTAAATCGGACGAAAATATATATGGGGGTTATATGGGGGCTACCCCAAAAAGGAGGCGAATATTAATAATTTTTGGTAGGGAGATTTGTTACCATATACGACTACAAAATACCAAATTGCAGCAAATTCTGTTGAAAAACGCTCTCAAGAACCCCAAAATATCGAACATTGGGGGGTACCCTTATATGGGGGCTATCCGAAAAAATTGATCTATATTCATATTTTTTTTGTGAGCAGATTTGGGACCTATTAAGGACTTAAAATACTAATTTACAGCCAAGTCGGTGGAAAAATACGATCAAAATCCACAATATACTGAAAATTAGGAGGTACCGTTATATGGGGGCTACCAGAAAAAGTGGACCTATATTTATAATTTGTTGTGGAGACATTTAGAACCTAATAAGAACGCAATGTAGCAAATTTCTGCGAATTCGGTTGAAAAACGCGCTCAAGAACCCCAAAATAACGAAAATCGGGAGTTACCCCTCATATGGGGGCCTACCAGAAAAAATGGACCTATATTCATAATTTTTTGTGGAGTGATTTGGAACCTATTTAGAACCCAAAGTACTAATTTACAGCCAATTCGGTGGAAAAATACGACCAAAACCCCCCAAAATACGGAAAATTAGGAGGTAGCGTTATATGGGGGCTGGCTACCAGAAAAAGTGGACCTATATTTATAATTTTTTGTGGAAACATTTAGTATCCAATAAGAACCCATTGTACCATATTTCAGGGAATTCGGTTGAAAAACGCGCTCAAGAACCCCAAAATACCGAAAATCGGGGAGGTACCCTTATATGGGAGCTATGCCTAAACGTGGACCGATAAAGCCCATCTTCGAACTTGAGACATTTAGTACCCAATAAGAACTAAATGTAGAAAATTTCAGCGAATTCGGTTGAAAAACGTGCTCAAGAACCCCAAAATGCCGAAAATTGGGGGGGGGGGTACCCTTATATGGGAGCTATGCCTAAACGTGGACCGATGAACTTCGAACTTGATCTGCTTGCAGACAAAATACAAACCTATGCAAAATTTCAGCACCCTATCTCAATTCCTTCAGAAGATAGCGTGATTACAACAGACGGACAGACGGACGGACATGGCTAGATCGTCTTAGAATTTTACCCTGATCAAGAATATATATACTTTAGAGAATCGTAAATGATTATTTCGAAGAGTTACCAACGGAAAAACAAAATTAATATACCCTCCATTCTATGGTGGAGGGTATAAAAACGAAAGGGGACAGCTTTGAAATATCAAGGAATTTAAATTGCAGAACAGTGGGCTGGATAAAAAGGAGGGGTTGAAATATATATATATATATATTTTAAATCCACGCCTGTGGTTATTCCTTAAAAAAATATTTTTTAAAAGTCCACACCTGTTGGTCTCATCAAAAAATATTTTTGAAAAAATCCACACTTGTGTTTATTTCCCAAAAAATATTTTTTAAAGAATCCACGGCTGTTGGTCCGATCAAATCCACGCCTTGTGGTAGCTTCGAAAAATCCACGTCCTAAGAAAAAAATTCTCCATTGTATTCCCACCAATCCTCCTAGTTTTCCTTCATTAATGTACCTTCTCCTGTCACCACTGTTTGTGTGATATGCATGCTCGCTCCCAAAGGTCTCTGCAGGATATGCAGGACATTTACTTGGCTAAACTTTTATTACCAGTGTCAGCCATTTAACCCATTTACACTTTTCCAGTATGCATGGCAGCAACCCACGGAGATTGCCGGGCACCCATTCCATTCCCCCAGAAGCTGGGGGAAGGGGCTAGCAGATCCTTTTTTCTTTTGGATTTTATTATAATAGTTGTAGTGATGTTGTTGTAAAAAGGACATGTTGGCTTGCGGCTGTTTGTTGCAACATACAAATGCTTTACAAACAAAGCCTCAGTAGTTCGTTCGTTTGTTTTTCTTGTTGTTGTTTTTGTTGTGAAGGAAATATTTGTTTTTGTTGTAGCGTGGCACCCGAAGCCAACTTCATTCATTCCGTTATTTTTTTAATTCTCTGTTGTCGTTCAAGGGCGAGGGGTAGAATTTATGTTCTCTCGGGTGTTTAACATTTGTTTATTGGTGTGAGTGAGTGTGTGTGTGTTTGCTGTTTTATATTAAAATATGTGTGAGCTTGATGCTGTTGCTGCTGCTGCATTTGAAAATGTAGGCCGTTCGGTTTGTTTGCCTGCCATGGCCTGGCTTGGCCATATTTTTGAGTCCTTTTTATACCCTTCACCACACTGTGGTACAGGGTATTATGTCTTTGTGCATATGTTTGTAACAGGCAAAAGAAATCGAGATAGACCCATGGTTCCTTTTGAGAATATGCATAGAATCACTTTCTGAGTCGATTTATGCATGTCCGTCCGTCCGTCCGTCTGTTGATATTAAATTGTAAACAAAGTACAGGTC